GGTGGCTTCAGGATAGTTGTTCGCGAAACTTATCGATGCGATGGCATAATTCGACGAGTTAGTTGTAGTAGGCTGAGACTCAGCCACTCAGTGCTATGAATATGTTCACATTCATCAGCTGAGCTCAGAAGAGTTCACATATGAATTCGGGTAGAAGTGTACAGAAACCAACAATAATTTTTATATTGTCATCATCACCAACACATGTAGTTGATGACCATGTGCATATCACATGTAGTTGATGACCATGTGCATATTCTGTGAATATGGGAATAATCTAATCTTCGTTTCTTCATCTCGATAGTCTTCCCATAAATCAGTGTTGGAAATTTGTCTAATTTTCTCAGTCGAGTTCTCGAAGTTTCCTCACTATATTATGGGAATTTTCACATGGGTAAAAATGTACGAAAATTTTCACATCAGCACATGTAGTTGATAAACATGTGCATATTCTCCCACACTACTCTTGCATTGAGGTGATCATCGCAGTAGATTCATTTTCATGTCAAAGTGCTATGCTTTCAGCCACATTCGGGCAGTACTGGGAAATGGCGTTTTCGCTGTCTCCATAGTAGGCGTCGGGATAGCTCTTACAAAGGGCGAGTCCACAGCATGTGAAGTTATTGATAAGAAAAAGGTGAATATTTTTTGGGGGGGGGCAAGTCATACGTATAGATATTATTGATTTTATAGTCGGCTCAGAGGAGCAAATTTTTCTGTATTTTTTGCATTTTTTGTCGTTTTTTGGGGAAAATTTTGAGTATTTTGCGTCAAATAAGTAGTGTTTCATACCGCAAATTTCGAAATGGCTTAGATGTGGAAATGAAGTTTCATGTGCTAAATTGAAACGGTCGTATGCTCTGCTGTTATTCGTATATATATTGGCGAGTAAATTCACATCTGAAAATCTCGTATTTTATGAATATCACTGTCAATGTGATGGGAAAATATGCACATGTGTTGGTGATGATGATGACAATATGAAAATGTGGGGGGAAAGGGATATGCACATGGTCATCAACTACATGTGTTGGTGATGATGATGACAATATGAAAATGTGGGGGGAAAGGGATATGCACATGGTCATCAACTACATGTGTTGGTGATGATGATGACAATATGAAAATGTGGGGGGAAAGGGATATGCACATGGTCATCAACTACATGTGTTGGTGATGATGATGACAATATGAAAATGTGGGGGGAAAGGGATATGCACATGGTCATCAACTACATGTGTTGGTGATGATGATGACAATATGAAAATGTGGGGGGAAAGGGATATGCACATGGTCATCAACTACATGTGTTGGTGATGATGATGACAATATGAAAATGTGGGGGGAAAGGGATATGCACATGGTCATCAACTACATGTGTTGGTGATGATGATGACAATATGAAAATGTGGGGGGAAAGGGATATGCACATGGTCATCAACTACATGTGTTGGTGATGATGATGACAATATGAAAATGTGGGGGGAAAGGGATATGCACATGGTCATCAACTACATGTGTTGGTGATGATGATGACAATATGAAAATTCTGGGAGTAGATCTATTATAAGTTCCTGTTTCCGAATTCTTATGAAAACTTGTATATTCAGTGAGGAAACTCTTCAGCTCAGCTGAGGAGAGCGAACGTACATTTCCACGCTAAGTACTATACATATTTCGACCTAGGAATGATGTCGTTAATATGCGTCTTGCGTGCTTCGTGTTCATCTCAGTCTGTTCTCATTATTTCCTGTACTTGGCATAGGTCGCGGGTTCGAATCCCAGGCTCGGCATTTTTTCCACGCAGAAAATATTTTTTGGGCATATATCGTATTTTTTTCAGAGTATATCTGTGAATTGAGTATATCTGTGAATTAAGTATATCTGTGAATTGAGTATATCTGTGAATTTAGCTTTTCCTTGAGGGTTTCAAATGACCCGAATTGCATTATGTAGATCAAACGAATGAGAAAAAAGTTGGACTCGAAAAAATAGAGTTACTTACTCCACTCTATTGACGGCTCATGTCAATGGAGTTTCACCACACTAGTGATATGAAAAACATATTTCACGACTACTGCATATCACCGCGAATTTCGCGTTTTTCATGGAGTTTTACGACGCCACTTCACGTAAAACGAGTAGTCGTGAAACTCCAATATTCATCAGTGAGAAATAGAAGCTATTAAAATCATTTTGTGACCATGAAAATGTGGATTTGAAATTATACTCAGATTGTGGTATATGCATAAGAATTTTTCGGCGAGTGGAAAAAATTCTTTTCGTGTTTTTTTAGTTTTATGCATCGAAAAGATGCGCGGAAACAGAGTTCCGAGATGGTCCTAGAGGATTGAAATTTCGAGAAATGAAAATTGGTGAGGGCAAAATGGCAAGCAAAGGATCGCTGTGCACAGTGAGTTCGGGTGTGAAGTGAAGACACCATAGTTGGCGTGAAATCAATTTAGTCGTGAAATTATGACGCAAGGCTCAGATTCACCTGAAATTCTGTACAGCAATTATAGTAGTTTTTTTTCTCGAAAAAAATGACTTTGCCATTTTCCACTGATCTTGTGTATTGTTATTAAGTGTCATCGTTTTATGGGCGTCATCGTTGCGTCTCGAGCGATTGGGAAAAGTCCTGTGTCGTTACTTGTTTATACATTTTAACCTTGTTATGAGCTATGAAGTAGGTTCCTGAATTAACACGGATGATCGTTTTGTAAACCACCGAGCACCCGAGCGGGTTTTTCTCACTCCTGCACTTTTACCATTGATCGTTGGTGTATCTATTTTTAATCGATTAATTAGTGTGTTATGCCAGTGAGAAGAGTTGATAGACATATAGGACTCAACGCGTGAGAAAGGTGTCTCAAATCCATAGATTTCATGTTGGGCACAGCGGAGCGAAGCGTTTCACGATGTGCATAATCGTCGAACCGAGTTAACGCCTTAACGCGTTCATCCGCATTCATGTTGTTAAATCCAATCGCGTTTATGGGATTTCTTCCAATGTGTCATTCACGTGATATTCAGTGAATAAAAATACTATGGCCGTCGCGTGAGCATATCATCTGTGAAAGGGTTACCGTTTTTAAATGCGCGCGAGCGCCATCACTGTTGGAAAGAATGCGCGTGGTCAACTACGTTCTCTACAAAATTCTCTCATTGATTTCTGTACACTTCTACTACTCGAATTCATATAATTAGTGAGGAAGCTTCTGGTTTTAGCTGAGGAAAGCGATCATATATGCTAACACTGATCTCAATAAAGTTTTCCCAAAACTACAGACTATTTTCTGATCTAGTGCCTCACCTATGTATAGTTGCGCTGCCAGACAAGTATCTTTTTGTGTGGAAGAACGATATCGATTACTAGGGCGAGCGCTTTTTTGAAGTCGTGTTTAGGTTCACTACGAAGGAAAGTCGCTTTCGGGGACAAGGTTGGAGTGCACGTTTAACAACTCTCTTACTGGAATACGCTTTTACTGTGGTAGGTTTTTTTTTGTAATTTTCGTGGCGCGTGACAAAATTAAATTGGTGAAACGATGTTTGTGTTTAGTGGAGTTTCACG